GTCTCTGAGGGGTTTTTTTGGTTTGAAGGTAAAGGTGTGCAGAGTCATGTGAGGGCTGGCAGTCTGCAATGTGAGAATCACACAGGGTTGTAGTTTAATCTACAGAGAAGGTGTTTGGCATGGAGCAGCCTGATTGTGGTAGCTCTGTATGTAAAGAGTTGATGGCTGCATAGTCTGTGTGTTTTGGTTTGCACAACATTCAGCTGGAACATCTTCAGAGCAGAACATAAGAAGATGAAGAGAGAGAAGGCTCCAGGAGGTGAGATCTGACACTGTGATAAAACGGTCCTGATGATGGGTAACCATTCAATGGCGCCATGGCGGGCCCTTTCAGCCTTCTTAAAGGGGGGCAGACAGAAGAGGATGAGTCATTAGTTCTGACAGATGCAAAGGTGGGGCTACAGGTTGTATTCAGATTCAGGTAGATACTTTGATGGTAAGACTCTCCAGACCGATTCTACTTAATGAGCAGTAAAGATTAGAGTGCTGCACACACTTATTCACTCATTAGGCTAATACCTATGGACCACTCTGGGCACTTACGGAACCGCCATCGAGGACAAGATTGCAGCTGTCTCATTAAAAGCAAATTTGGACCTGTTTGCTGTTTAAATCTTTCCTGTCCTTCTCTGAGCACTGCTTCCTCACTAGGACATAAACACACAATTATGGATGAGATCCCTCAGGCACCACTGGGTCTGACCTCTGACCCCTACAGTAAATGCTCAGCCCCTTCATGCTTTCTACACCTCGCCATACTCTCCTCCACTGGAGCTGTTCACAACTGGGACATTTCTAAGGCCTGAGCTAGCTCAGGACAACTTATTGACAGCAAAGTGCAGTGAGTGTGCCCATGTAGTCTGTCTGAGGAGGGGTGCAGCTAATGGATTCCTGAACCTCAGCGCAGTGCCGTCAACTGATGCATTAATACACTAACAAGGGAGAGTAAGTTAAATCACTTCTTCCACTAGCTAATGATGTCACTGAGCCATTTTTAATGGCTTTCCATCTGTCAGCCACAGAGTGACGCCAATGTTTTTCATAACTTCGAAGTGTCTTTGATCATGGCTTAAAATGTGCAGCAAAACAGGACCAGCAAATTTGTCAACAAACAGCACGCACATGACAGCTGTAGTAGGGTGTTAGCAGCCACAATGACGCATACACACACACACAAACACCCACACCCACACTTTTACTCATTAGCACGCATGCACACATAAATACGCACACATACGAGGCAATTTAATATTTCTTGGCCTACACACCAACATGCTGTGACGCGCTGACTTCACTTAGCAGCTTTCTATGCCAAAAAAATAAAACCAGAAAACCTCGAACATAATACACACCACCTGCCCAAAACACATGCAGACACAAAACACACACACCTTGCTATGTGTCTGGAACACCTTTAGTTCCAAAATAGAGTTTGCCTGAAGAAAGGGGTGGGGGTGGGGGTGGGGGGGGGACTGAGCTGTAAGGGGGAGCTGCTTTAGAATTCAGATGATTCAGGTAGATAATCGATCCTCTCGTCCTGGCATGCTGCTTCATGTCTAAAGCAAAAACACACTCTCACACACAGCGATGATCAACTGATTCCAGCTTTCTCTTTCTACAGTGTTCAGAAGCTAGTTTTGCTTTTACTATTAAATGAAATCACATTCTCGTTTTAAATAAACAAATCTATGCAATGTAACCAGGATGTGAATCACTGTTCTGTTTTGTCCTATTGCCTAACAAATTATGCAGGTGTCAAGTATGAAAGTATTTCACAACTAACCTCTACAAGAAGATCAAGCTAAGTGGAAATGATCGTTTTTCTTTAAGTTGTCTAAGTTACTGTAATAGTGTGTTTTCAAGAGCCACTTCCAGTCTTTCCTGATGACCCAAATAAAAGATAATAACTTGCTTTACTTGGGTGATGACAGATCAAGGGCCGCCTGTGTGGGAGAAAAGCCACCAGTACAGGCAGCGTGGCCTGTCCGTGCATGTGTGGTAGATATGACAAAGACCCTCCACCTCCTGCCCTCTGGGTGGCTGGACACTAGACCTCAGATGCAGCCACAGGGCACAGATTCTGTCACTTCTCTCCCAGTCACCTGCAGTCTCATCAGGAGTGCATGTGTACACTATAAAACACAAGCAAACACTTGAACTGATTCAGGCATTTGCATTCTGCCCCACACATGGAACTTACAGACTGACTTGAACCAGAAGAAGCCATCTCTGTGACACATCCATCACGTCCATGTCAGAACAGTCCCATAAACAGCAATATCTGGGTGAGTGTGTTTAGGTAACCTGAGTCAAAATCTCAGTCACTGTCCTCGTTATCTCAGCATTCTAACTTTACACTAACTTCATGTTGCCAATTCACAACGCACTAAGACACATGGAGGCTGTGAAAACCTCGGAACACTATGGAATCCCTCATAGGTTGATAACATAATGAGGATGGATGCTTCAGGGTAAATTCCACAGTTATAGCAGTGAATGAGCTCTTTTACAGAATAACTCACATCAGTAGGTCAACTGTCTGAGGGAATCTGATGATGCCATTCTTATAGGGAAAATTGGGTTAGTCAGAAATAAGAGGCTTTAGCTTAATGAAAGGTCCAATTCAACTCCAATAAGTGATGGCATTTGCTGCCAAATGCCCGCAGATGAGTCAAGGTCAGGCCTCTGCTGATAACTGTCATGACGGCTAACAGGGCAGAGACATGCAGGATGTAATCAGACAGATAGGAATCGGTAAGTAATCGAATAGTTAATAAGTTCTGCTAGAGGCAAATATAACAATGAATTATATTGTAGTGTGGCACTCAATAATACACTCTCGTTTCAGTGTGCATTAAACAATTCACCACGTATTTTTTTAACAGGCACTGCTGGGGTTATTGAGATGTTAACTCCTCTGTGTGTGATAAAACTGTAAAGATTTTAGTTTGCCTTGTTGCTGCAGAGAAACTACACAACTTGGGTCAGAAACCTTAGACTTTTATGGTGTTGAAAATCATAAACCAAAACACAGAACGGGGTATTTGCTGTACTGAAATCATCACTAGCACTAATGTACTGTATTCCCATCACAAGACCAAGTGATTCTCTGAGTCAGTTGTGTCTCAGTGACTCAGTGCTGTCATGTTGTCAGAGAAGGTATAAGAGGGATCAGGGCATGTCATTTTGTGAGAAAGCAAGTGGAATGATCAATCTGAGAACCAAGAGAGACCATTTTCCCTACTGGCCTGACTGATGCTGGGTTGCCAGACACATAACAAAGTTGATGGAAAGTGTGTAAAGTGAGCAGCTAATAGCATACCTGCAGGGGTTAGGAATAACACGACAATAAAACTAACTGCCTCATACTTTTGTTTTGTTTGCCAGGCACCTTCCTATGCCATAACTGCCAACAAGGGTCAGACCTGTCAGTCTGCCTAGACGGGTTCCACCTCTTGCATGTTTGTTGCTGGTCCAAATGATCATATTCTCTTTCCTAGTCATGTGAGATGACAACATGAAGCGTATAAAACTAGACTGAATATCAATTCAGTGCATTTAAGTCCTGTCCAAGCACAGTTCTGAGCAGTACACCTCACAGGAGTACTCCCATGTGACCAGCTTCGCTGTAGTTTAACCTACCTAAACACATAAATCAGTTACACCAAGCACCACAACACTGCCTACATGTTGGTACATTAATAATTTGACACTCTGAACGATACACTGTAATATTTTTGGATAATTAATAACATAGATTTCTTCTCAAACTGTCACTTCATTATTTTAATGGGATATTATATTGTCAATGAAAAGTTCCGTTTGGTTAAGAATGTGTAATTGCTAATACAGTATGTTTAAACTCATACATCTGTGGTTATGGTCATATTTAAAATAATGATGCTAAATATTCTAAACAATGATGGTTTACACACAAAAGAATTCATTATTTTTTTTATTATCTGATAGTGCTGATTATGATAATAATAAGTGTTTATCAAGTAAAAACACAAACTAAGCAAAGTGATCTTTTGGTGCAAAAAACAAAAACAAAAACAAAAAAAGCTAACTGCTAGATTCCTTAATAATAAAAACAATCCCTTTGTCGCCTTTTATATCTATTGGTAATTTGGTAGCTGTTCTGTTATTATGGTCACTGAGGTCTAGTCCACTCGTCCGACGCCTGTGCAGCCTTCCAGCTGAGCACAGACATCAGTGCTCGTGCAGTGAGAGAAGCTAAAGCGCTCAGTGAACAGAGGTAATTTTCGGCACGAGAACACAAGCACGGGGCATGTTTTCATCCCAATTCCCACGTTCTTCTCCCGGGAACTTTAGGGGTTACCATGGAAACAGATGGATTCCCGGGAAAACTCTGCTGCTGCCAGCTGAGCCTCCACCTCCCGCCCTCCCTCGTGCCCCCCCATGCACCGAGTAGAAAGTTTTCTGTTTCCATTTGACTCTTGTAAAAAAAAGTTCGTTACCTTTAACAAATCCTCATTCAATGAGATTGTTTTCCTCCTGAAAACCGGCTTTAACTAACCTCCACAAAAATCATTATAATCTGCAAAGATGATGTTGAGTGTGTTGCGTATTTGTACCATAACACAGAAACAGGGTAGAGATTCCATATTAATTAGTGTTCAACGCTGTAATATAATGATTAACTCAAGTCATTCTGTAATAACACTGAGTAAGTTGCCTAGTGCCAAAGCCAATTTAAAATGAGCAGATAAATACCGGCATTCTTACCGACACAAAGGCATAATACATCCAGACCGACAAGCATCTTCCTCTTGGTGCATAACGAGCTGTCTTCCTCGGGCTGGGAGAGGAAGTGCTTCCCTGCGCCGTTCTCCTTCCCCTCCCCGGCTCCTGCGCTGTCAGCCAGCCGCAGCTGGAGCTCCGCGTCCCGCTCCAGCGTGTGGCCGTGGGGACCGGTGGAGTTGAGCTTTTGCATTTCTTCAGCTAAATGAACTCTTAACAACTTATTTTTAAGAAGTTGCACTTAGAGACCGTTTTGTCGTATCTAGCTGCCGAGTGAAGGATATTCCCAAAGTTTTCAGTCCGTCCTTCGCCGTCGGCGCAACAAATCCATGTCAGAAAGTTTTGACAGCAGCAGATCCTGCTCAGAAAGCCAGCCCGCTAGATGAGGTAGAGTTGCACTGTGTCATAAAAAAGTAGGGGTGCGAGGAAAAAGAAGAGTGGGGCCTTGTTGTAAACAGGAGGGAATAAACACCCGGACTCCACTTCTTCTCGGGGGGAGCGTGCTGCCCTTTCTTTCTAAACGTCCCTAATAAACCAGCATTCTCCTTGTGCCAGACAAAAGTGAGAACAGAAAAACAGGGTCAAAGTTTCAAAATAAAATACTGTCTTCATTAATATCTCTACGCCATCGGTTTAATAATTGCAAACGTTTATTTTGGTTGTAAAGTCGTGATATTTCCGGCATTATTCAGTTTGACTTGACACAGTTGAAGTGAAAACCAGGTAAAAACTAACCCAATCAATGAGTAACTATCACTGAAGCTGTAGGTCACCACATGTTCGATCCACCTGACCTGACAGCTGGATGTCTGGTCCTGTCTGCTGCTGTGTCCCACCCACGTGACGACATGTCCCACATACAGTTTGTGCCCTTTTCCAGATTAACAAGGACATGTTGTTACTGTTTGCACAGACCCACACACGCGCAGGCAGAACCGTTCAATAGGTTCAATAGTTCTTCCTGATATTAATGTTCCATTAATGCAGCCTAGTCAGGTGTGAATGAATTGTGACAGTTCAGCCTGTTATTTTTAGGAACATATGATCATTTTATGAAAGTTTATGAATGTATGTTTCTTCAAATCCCATTTCTTGAATTGATCAACTACTAGCTGTTGATTTTACAGAGATCATCTCTGGGTTGTTAGTAGCGCCCTGATCAACAGAGGGGTTTCCTGCCACCTGGTGTAAAGAAAGAGGCACTGTTGCTTTATGTCCTTGGTGTTGTTCTCATCATTTTCAGACCATAAGTGCTTTGCTGTTGTTTAATGCACATAAACATAATTAGGGCCACAACAAAGGATTATTTTAATTATCAAATAATCAACCTCTGTCCTCTTGATTAAGGTCTACAGTTAAGTTTACAAATGCCCAATGTCATTTCTAAGAGCTCCACCTTTGTGTTGTGGTTAAGAAGTTGAAAATAACTGAAAACATTTCTTTTTCCCCTCCCTTAGATGATCCTTTTATCATTTTGATCAGTTTCTCATTTAGATTTTATGAGCTCTATGTAAAGCAGGTGCTCCTCCTGTAAAGCACAACCTTAAACTCATGACATCCAGTGTTTGTTTCTTGTATTTATGTAATTTAACTAATTGAATGCTGACTGTGTCACTTGCCTTATATTGTCATGCTTTTGTGCAAAACTGAGAAAATGTTTATCAGTGTTTAAATGAAAGAATATGACAGGTGGAAAATAAAAGTGAAAAAAGGAAGTGGGGCAAAATAAATCTGGTTTCATATATCACAGGTCACTTTCTATTTAACATTTTCTCATAGATGTTTTCTTCTTCCATTGTAGTTTTAAGACACAATAAAAACGCATTTACACTAAAGTCATTGACAGGATGACAGAGTGGTCTACATTTTAATAACTAATGCAATATCATGCCTTTTCTTCATTTCTTCATTAACTTACAAGCACCTTTGCAAACATCTGCATCGACCACATCTTTATTTTTACCTGGGTCTTATCTGTGGGGAATCCTTCACTGGTGTTATCTTTATAAACAAACATCAGGTTCATGTGTGTTTTAGCACAGTGTGACCGTTTGACATTTGCTGTAGATCAAGAGTGATAATATAAAGATTAAAGAATTACTTTTGAAATCTGTAATTTCCTATTCTTATAAAAACTGGGTCTTTTGTGTATTATTGCTTTTCATCCACTAGATGGCTGTACATCTTCATTAATGTTTAGAAAATGAGAGGATGTAAGAATAGTGTATATCAACAGTAGTGACTGAAGACTGGACCTAAAATGGCTGGAGTCACAGTGATGTGTCATTATTTTGTACTGTGTATTAAAGCATGTCAAGTTAAAGCCTTTAGTGTATACTGATCTGATTTTCCATCCTTTTTTGGTGTTCTGGCTCTATTCATTTAGCCCATTTTCACCAGTATCCTAAAAGACTTTGGCTCAAAAGCCATTTTGACACTTTACAGTACTGAGTTAACCCTTAACCTCTCCACAGAAAATGTGATTCATTATTTCTTCATGAAAAATATAACATCATCAGAAATGCAGAACTAGAAGCAACAAACATCGCTGAAACAATTATGTTTTCCTCTGGATTTTCATCATTTGTCATCACCAGAGAAATGAGGTATTTGCCGATATCATTTATGCTTGCACACGACTGAATATTGCTGACTGTCAAAAATCCAATCCCACTTCTGCTTTTTGTATACAATTCAAATGATTAGTTCTGACAGGTTGTTTGTTATTGTGTTATTTGACCATCGCTAGTCACAAAAGTAGCCGGCAGGTATCACTTTGTCTTTGAGGCTTCTGTTCAGGCTGATGATGACACATACCTGAACCAAACCCATCCTGTTTTGCTGCCATGAAACTTTCCCCATCAAAGTACAAAATGAGAAAGTGAAACCACGTCTACTGACCTCAAGCTGAATTTAAATGCAGGTGGGAATTTTCACGAAGTGCACTTGCTAAACAAAATACCATGACATTTTATGAATCCTATTAATGTGACTGTGACAACTTACTGTGTCAAATGAGGTGCTGTAACAATGATGATGTCTTAGTGCTGATTGATTGCTTTAATAAAAGTACATTACTAACCACATGTTGATGACCGGACAGTTAAATTAGTACAAAGTTAAATAAGTATCATCAAGTAATTCCAATGTGGAATTACATGATGATAGTATTTTTTAGACAGTAAAAATGTATTTCCACCCTCAAAAGCAATAAGTTCTCAAATGCTGTTGCCCATAAATTTTGCTTCTTTATTTTTTATTTTATTTCTGGTCTTTCCTCTAAAAACTTTAATAGAATAATTTACAGATAAATTCCTGCCAACATCTAGCATTTCAGGTTGAACGTTTCAATAATTCAATGCTGAATTAATACATTTGATTCTTGTTAAATTGTTCTAATTAACCCTAATCAACTCACATTACACATTATCCTGCTCTGGTCAATGTTAAGAATATTTCTTTAATTTTAAAAGGTTAAATATAAAGATGTGTAGATTTAAAAGGGGGATAAAGGGGCAAAGGAATATACACCAGCCAAAACAAAGCCTCCTCACAATAAAGAACTGAATGATTCATTTTTACAGAACTTGTGTCAGAGTTCTTCACTCCTTCCCTTTCTCCCTGGTAGTGAGTCTTGTTCCTTATTTTTTGCGTAAGTTGTGGTGAGTAGGAGAAAAGGGTCAGCCCCACAAAGCTGACATAATCTGGGACTACAATGTTTGTCTTCACTATCAGAGGGGAAGTACCATCTGAATTCCTCTTTGTTCTGTAGCTACTTAGGGCACGGCACAACAATATCAGACTGCCCTCTTCACTTGCATGCACAGAGCTCAGGAAGCAGACACACGCACTGCTTTGGTGCACAGCAGACTCAGACTCAGGATAGTCAGCTCTTGACATCGGTCTTCCTGCACGCCCCGGCCTCACGCTGCGCTGAGCACTGCCACTGAACTGACGATGCCACAGCATAACCGCAATTCCCTGATCCATATCCTCCTGCTGTGGACCATCTTCCTGTCCATTATCCAGGCTGTGTTCATCGTCCTCTTCTTCACAGACCAGGTGAGACTGCTGTGTTCATCGTCCTCTTCTTCACAGCTGGACATTATAACCAGGTGAGACATCTTAAAATATCCATAGACTCATGTTACAGAACGCGTCTGGGGAATCATTGGTGAGGAAACGGCACTTTGTAAACACTTAAAACAACTTTATAAAAACCCTGTCACCTGCGAATGAATCAACAGAGTAAAGAAGATGAATGCCATAACTGCTATGGTTAAATATGTTCTACATTAATGGACCATTATGGATGTAATTCATAAAAATTACCAATGAAGTGTTTAGGGTAAATATTTTAGAGAGGAGAATACTTCTGATGTGTGTTCATTGTTTTTAAATTTAGCACTACCAATTGGAACAAAACTTCACCTGTCAGTACTTTTGCTTTTTTAAACCATCATGTAAGATTTATTATGAGCACATTCTGTGCTTCTGTTTCCTTCACCAGTCTCAGAGGAATAGCGCTGTAGCATCAGAGAGATTCCAGGCAAATTGTACACCTCTGGTAAGATAATCACAGCTTCACAGTTTGTGCTTCTCCTGTTAATATGACTGTGCTGTGATACATATTGTCATAAGAGTACAAACATTCTTGGTGATCAGGATTTCATGTTTTTTAATTAATCAATCAATTAATTAAGTTAGTTTTAACATTTTTGTGACCCTGGCATTCCAGACACATAAATCCTGCAGTCCAGACAGATCTACCTTTAAATGACTTCAATTTCTTTTGAGTTACTGAGATATGTTAGACAGTCTAACCACACTCCTCAGCATTTTGAGGAAGCACAGTGACGTCATTGCCACATTCGGGGAAATGCCTTTAAACTGAACTGTTGTCTCTTTATTTTTCTTCTGAAGCTAGTATGTGATCTGTTGTGTTCTCACTTTTAAGGTGGAGGTGCTTCCTCTATGTTGCTGCTATGTGTCACTGTGGCATCATATTTACATGTTAATATTTGGGGATTAATAGAGTTCTTCTTTTTTCAACAGTCCCCAAATGTCTCGGGCAAAATGCTTACCTTTCAGGCCATCCAAGGTAAAGTGCTATTTTAAATATTTCAAGGCAAAAAATGTACACACAGTGATTCAGGTTACCAAGCAGAAACAGTTGGGAATACAGTAAATGTCCTGGTCTGGGAGAATACGTAACTCGAGCACATGCAATTTAATTACATGTAATTTCATGTTTAATCACAGTACACCTTCAGACAAGACACATTTCCTTCATGTGAAATCATCACTCAGCACAGGAGATTCAGAATACAGTTCCTAAGAAAAAACATTCATGGGTAATAACGGCATTTCTTTTACCCACAGGTGGTCAGAACATAACATGGCTTGCAAAGACACCAGATAACAGCACAGTCTCGGTAAAAGGAGAAAATCTGAACATAGAGAAGGATGGATATTATTACTTAAATCTTCAGGTGACACTGTCTCCATGTGAAAAAACACAGCGACCAGAGTACACAGTCAGTCTGATGAGGGATGACTGCATCCTACTGCAGGGCAGGATTAAAACAAACTCATGCAGCACAGGCCTCCTGGGTAAGGTGCAGAAGCTGCATGCTGGAGGGACCTTGGTGGTAATCATTAATCCACCGACCACGGATGTTAGTTCCAATGAATTTTTAAGCCACCTGGATATCATTTACATGCCCGATCCTTAGATGCAGCTACGTGTCTGTTATGTGTCTATTTTCTAAATACTTGGCAAATTCCAGGGACCCCGCCCAGCTCATTGGACCCTGCTCACAGAGACTCTATATGCAAAGATGTAATTGTGATCACTTAATTACTTAACTGTCTGCTGTCAGAGAAGTGACCAAGTCACAGAGAATGATGGAAAGGGCTGCATTTACCCACAGGCTGGGTAAAAATCTCACCCTTTTAAAACCCTGGTTAATCCACATTGATTCAATGGCCAGTAAAATAAATATATCATATAGCAGCTCCAGGATTGGTTTAAACCTTACATAATCACTACAAGTCTGTGTTTCTGTTGTTATGTTCAATGGAAGACTTTTTCAAATTCACATTTTTAAGCTGACCTGTTTATTTGAAAAGAATTCATATAAATTGCTGTAGGTCTGGGGAATTTCCCCTTTTATATTGCATATGTTAGAAAAGCAAAATTGGACTGTTCTCATTGCTTCTCATATTACGATGAAGAAGAATGTTTCAGTTGGCGGAGCGGGCATTGTGAGTGATACTTATTTGACTGTTTAAAATTTACTTTTTTGTTAGAATTTTTTTACATTTAAAATGTGTAGGAATTAACTGCACTAATGTATAATTCTGAAGTGTCACCTCTACTGGCAGAATACAGTCACACTGTGTTATTTGCACAGCTCCAGTTTGCCACTTGCTGATTTATTATTTGATATGTGTTGAATTGTATGAGTTTTATATTTATGTTGTATTTATTTATTGTTTGGACATAAAATATAAACAGTACAGGTATACTGTTTTCAACAACATTGCATGGATAGATGAGCTAATAACCAATGACTACATGTCACTGTGTGACAGTGTCTTCAGCATATATATATATCTATATCTATATATAGATATATATGGTATGAATGGACAGTGTTTTCTTTACTTTGTTTACTTTCTTTATTTTACTTTCTCTCTCTTGAGAAGGTTCCGGGTTTGGACAAAGCGGGCAGAGCAGTTGTTTAAACAGAAAGTATAGAAATGTAATAGTGATTTTATATTTTAGACATGGTGTTGTGTTGTCATTTCTTTCCACTGTTTGTAATGAACTGAAGAAATGGAATTCACTTATTAATTAAACCATGTAACAGAAGAACCAACAATACACACATTAGTATCCTATTTTCATAATCTAAACTTAAATTGAAAAGTGAAATGGCATGACTGAACTAAGCTCTGGTTCTGCTTCACTACTTTTATTGCACATTGTGACACGTGAAATCACAAGTCATGGTGGTTGAAGCGAAAAGTTTCATGTCTTAACAGATGTTGAAAAAAATATTTGGTATGGCCAGTGATTTTCAATTGCTACTTGCACCACTGACTTTGTGTGTGCATTTGTGTTATTATGCACACAACAAAGCACTGCATTTGTCTGGAATATGTCTTTACATAGTTATGATTAAAGACCATTTTTTTCTTCATGCTGTTTATTAACTGATGTTTTTACAGACCCCAGAAATTGAGCCAAACAGGGCAAATGAAACCACAATGATGTGTCATTTTCAGGGCCCTTGAAAGCTGTGGAACCCCACAGAAACTGAGTCACTGAGTCACAACATTCAGCAAGACCCTCCCTGACATATGCTTTCGAAGAATGTGCCCTCCAAACTCTGACAAAGCAACATAAAAAAATCTGTGCTTTAAATGAGCATGAGCACCAAGCAGCACCTCTGCTGACCTATTTTATGACAAGAGAGATCCACACAAAAGGTCACCGGAACATTAGTCATCACAATCAAGATGCATATTTTCCAAGACACTGAGGATTAATCTGAAAACTTCAGCCGCAGCATCTCGTCTGCTCTATTAGGTGCTGGCACCACAACTTTGGAGAGGTCCAACACAGTCAAATGACAATAACAAGCATACTCAGTTACCACCCACTCTGTCACATTTATTAAAGGCTTGTTCCTACCCTTGTTTTCCACTGCCTGATACCAAGCCAGAGCTGCAAGAGTTCTGTGAAGTTCTGTGAAGCTTATCATTTCCACCCTAACGTCACTGAGACAGTCACTGAATAAGTCACTGAATAACATGTTCTTTCAAGTACCGTTGTGTTTCTGTGACAGCCAGTAAATATGTCACACATTATAATAAAAGATCTGCCCAAATTCAAGCTGTGAGATGATTCCTTAAGAGAAACATCATAAATCTAAACACTAGATTTTATTCTTCTTCTTCTTTCGGCTGTTCCTGTTAGGGGTCACCACAGCGAATCATCTGTTTCCACCTAACTCTATCCTCGGCATCCTCTACTCTCACACCAATTAACTTCATGTCCTCTTTTAGCACATCCATATATCTCCTCTTTGGCCTTCCTCTTGACCTCTTGCCTGGCAGCTCCATCTCCAACATCCTTCTACCAATATAACCACTATCCCTTCTCTGCACATGTCCAAACCATCTCGAACTGGCCTCTCTGACCTTGTCCCCAAAACAGCCGACCTGAGCTGTCCCTCTGATGTGCTCATTCCTAATCCTGTCCTCCTATCAAGTGCGTCAGCAAAACATTTGATTTTCTTTTGTGGAATACATTTTCAGCAAACTCAGCAGCACAGTGGAGCCTCTGAAAACACTGCGTACAGATCATTTAAATGTCAGCACCACACTGTTCTCTACTTGCTTTAGAGACCAACACAAGGGGACAGCATTTAGCTGAGGACTGTCTACTGTGAACCATCTACTTCAGTTTTGCTTTGCCTAAAAATCTTGTTCTATGCACTACACGTGTAGAAAAATGGTGACAGATAGTGGTTTATTTCCAAAGTAGTGTGGAAAACTGACTGTGTCCCTACACACTGATATCAATACAACTTTACTTTATCAATGGAAAATGTTTGTTTCATTTATAGAAGTGTGAATAGTTAGTTTGAGATCATAGCCATTAAGTGCTTTCATCCCACACAAGTTCTTCGTTAAAGTCATGTCTAGAACAAAGTTCAGTGCTGAGAGAAAAACCAATTGCACGAATCCCAACCACACAGCTGATAGTGCTCCCTCTCCTCTGCTACTACAGTCTCTCACACTTCAGGTCAGCCAGCGCTGGAAGATAATGACTCACACATGCAGGGAGGCTGTATGCCACAGGTGAGTCAGTACTACCCATGATTTCACAGATACTCTGAAGGAATTAGTTTAGCTATGCATTCAGACAATATATTTCCAAATCCTGGACAGTGATCACTGTCTCAACTCAGTGTTTTACCATGAAACAAAGCTCGTAGTACATGACAGGGAAAAAGATCATTTGAGGTTCACTTACCCTGCACCCACCTGTACACACACACACGTACAGTCCTGCTACATTACTCTCCATGTCTGGGGCTGGAAAATGAGTCAGGCAGTCTGCTACTGACACCCTTCACCCCCACCCCCCAGCCCCTACTACCACTTCCTCCTCAGTTTACAAATATACAACTCTGTGGGTGTTTTCTGGAGCGGCTTCTGTGAACACACACAACTGAAGGGAAAGTGTACCAGTGGCTGCATAAGAGACACGAATGAGAAATAAAAAGAGTTTCAAAGAGTGATGCGGCTTTTCGTTTTTGCACAAGACGCCAACGTGTTTGTCACCATGGTGATCATTTTTAGCATTACAATAAATAAGTAATCTGATAAACTGATCTCTGGAATACCACGATCATTGCTACCCTCAAGTTCACCAGTCCACAAGATTATATAACTGCAAAGTCAGGAGCACACTCTGTTCGAAGGTGGTTAGTACATTGACAACACTGTTATGAGTCACCGCAGTACAAAAAAATACCTTCTTTACAGTGTGACATGCGGTTGCACTGAGTGGGTGAGACATTTGCTGCTACTGAGACCACTCAGCAAAAGCTCCAGTTCAGCCTCACCTGACACAGCAGGAAGCATGCTCACTTGAGCTACTGCTATAGTTTTACATAATGGTCTGAGAAAACAAGGCCATTAAATGATTTGTTTATTTCACTTTTTTGCATACAAAATTGTACATTAATATAGCAGAATAAAAGCAGTTATGTTGTTCATTCTACTACTGAAAGAATAAATTATCTGCAGCAAGTGTTACAGCGAGAGTAAAAAGAATTTTAAAGTAAGTACACAAGTAAGTATATACAATAAAAAGTCCCTGATGTGAAAAAGAATTGTGTTACATTGTCAAACATAATCTGAAAGCAGTTTTCACCCTCAGTAAAAAAGCCACCAGCACTTCAAGGCACAGAGAGGTTTTCTAACCTGCCTCTCTTTCCAGTTATGGACCTGCTTTTACATTACAAAGTGAATCATTACCCCTCCACAAGGTTCATCCATGTTTATATATTCTGAAACCATACCTTTAGATTAATGGTGAAATGTTAGATTTATATCATAAATGCTCCAAAGGTGTTTTCAAAGGATTTATGTCTGTCAAGTTTTGAGGTACTGCTCACTTTCACAAAAATGGCATCGTCTTTGTAGAAGTGAAACACTCCACCCAGGTAACTGTTGGATCGCACTGTGTTGGAATGTTGTGAGTATTTTTGAGCCTGCAGGAGAGGAATGTATCCCCCAGGGTACAATTTACTTTTCACATTAATATAGTGGTTAAATTTATCACTGTCAAAGAAGAAAACCTTGGAATAGACATAGTAATAACCCTCTTTCTGAATGACAAGATTTCCGTCTTTGTAGTCAATTTCATAAAGGAGAGGATCAGCAACCATGCTCCATGCCATGATTTCTTTTCCATGAACTACATCTTGTCCATCTGGAAATAAACAAGCAAAATAGCAGCAACAACATGAAGGCTGATTCTTTTAAAACAGGGCATTTAAAGTTGCAGCAATACATGTTTATGTATTTTCTGTCTTGGTAATAAATTGAAAATTATGGTAATTGATGGGACAACAATGTTGGTCTCACCTGTCAGATGTGCAACTGGTTTGGAAGGAGAAACATCACCGGGCTGATAAGTAACAGCTTCACTGGGCTGATAAGTAACAGCTTCACCTGGGTGAGGACCAGACCATATGACCATAATGTCTCTAATATGGATCAAGTAGATACCAATCATTTGAACAAAAGGTGCTGAGACATACCTCCAATAAGCTTAGACGACGATGCAGAGGTGGCCTGCAAGTGAAACAAACACAGTTTATATCTTAGCTGTTTGTGAAAGTGAGTGTGCACATGCAGATGCAATTTCCACTGGTGAATATACAAAGAAGTTGCAAAAATAAGCTGTAGAAGATTCATTAAATGTAAACAGATAAAGAGTCTCCCACATCATAAGAACAACTTGTTTTTAAGGGCCACTTTGCCCTTTTCTGTGGTTTTGTCTCACTGCAGAAAATGTAGACCAAGTCTTTGCTTCCTGTCAAGAGCAGGAGGTAGATCATAACGATGCAACAGGAAATAGACCACTTCCTTTTATTCACTAACCCCTGCTCATACATGTAAGTACACCAAGCAGTGTAAGAGTAAGAAAGTCATGTCCCCCTCCTCCCACCCCGAGCCCTGTGACTGGCCCAGGAAACTGAGTCAGCAATGCACAGAAAGCAGTGACCATCCACGATCATGGGACATCAAGTCTGCAAGCCCCTGTGCCTGGGGATGTCAGTGGAGTTTTACGCAAATGGCCGAACTTTGTGTAATGGACTTCTCCATCTCTATTCTACTCTCTTCCCCATAATACTGAAATTATTTCACCGTCAGCAGTTTTGTTTTGTTTTTTTTTAAATAAAAAACAATCTTTCAAATGATTGCAGCATGTGTCAAGTTTGTTTCTGTCCCAAGAACCCTTTGGTTTACTGATGCCTTTCTTCACTAAACCCAAACACATTCCCCACACATATAGTAAATGTGTGTAAAGAGTAGTTTTAAAATGCAGGACTGCTTTTGTCTCACATGTTAATTATTTTATGTCACAACGTAGCTCCATCATGACTCTATGGGAAAATCTGTAAAGACAAATTAACTTATGGACACTTCCACTTTGGTTACGTGACAGTACGGTTTCCCACATGTGACTCCATGAAATGCATACAATTAAAAATGTTATGTGAACAATGTCCTTGCATTGTAACCTCATTTTGTATTTTTAAGTTATACAACTCACAAAATTCTATAGCTTTAATGTAATTTCACATCATGACGTGCACTGCTCGCATAATATTTCATGACACTGGTTTATATCCCATGGTCACTGATATTTATATTTTGCCATTTATGGATTTTACTCTACCTTGGTGGTGTCAAAATGGATTTAATTTATGTCAAGTAATAATAATTGGGCTTAAAAATATTAAAGTGTAAATACTTAAGACTTAAGTGTTTAAAGTAAATCAAGAGAAAACCAGAGCTCCCATGGTGAATATTTACCGCAAAAGCTTAAAGGAAACTTAAAGGTGTTGTTGATAAAAAAGCAACATTGTGTTAAGAGGAACATGAAACAAGATAAAATTGTTAAAGTAAAAAAAGAAAACTGAAAGTGAGAAAAGCGTGTTAAAGATAAATGATTTCTGAGGAAGAAAGTGAGACTGAAAGGGGTTCACAGGGAAATGTAATGCAACTAATAAAAAAGCACTGATAGTCACAGAATGAAAAGCACTGTAGGCAGGTGACAACTCAGAGATGAAGCTGATACTCACAGATTCAGACTGATAAAGATGGTAGATCAAGCACGCTTCTACGGCCATCCCGCATAACGCCAAGCTCACCAGCAGGAACAGCAGGGTCTGAGCCACCCCGTGTCTCCTTTGCACCTGGTTCTGCCTCATTGGTACTGGAGGCCGAGTGGCATGGCTGTCCACCACATACACAGAGGGATACCCATCTTCAGCCATACCTACAGTTCTCTGTAAAGAAGAAATGACTCAGTATGAAAATATCCTCCAAAGGTTGTCAGAGAGTGTTGTCAAGTAGATGACAGACACAGACAGAGACCTGAGAGACAGACACGTGCAAAAAAAAAACAACTGTAAAATGGGTGGGCTCACTTGTTACTGGTTCAAGTAGAGATGGCTCACCAGTAGTCAGATAAAGAGCAGACTCAGTTATAGAAAGCTGGAGCTGTATCACCAGAGCGACTCTGGAGGATGTCAGGGATGCCCCTCTCTGCACTCAGTAACTCTAATTGTCACACTGTAATTAATATAAAATTTTCCAATGCAGCTGCAGAACCTGACCATTTATGAGTGAGGGCAGTTAAGGCTGAAGGTAGAAGTGAGAGACCAAGCACAGTGCATCTTAACCTCCTTTTCACACCTCCCATTTCACTGTTATGGCAATGTTGAAATATCTCCATCCACACTTCCTCTCTTACTTACATTCTCTACGTGGCTTGTCTTAATCACAGCCACTTAATATTTCACATTTGTCTTTATGCTTGGTTGGATGAATCAGAGTAGAGCTGCAAGTCACAGACACATTAAAAATAGGTCATCAGACTCAGCTGAGTTAGGGTAAAGTGAAACCAGGAAACAATACTTAACTAGATTAAGACAGAATTTTGTGGCTCCTAATTTGTGATACAGGCATTACATATTTACAGTGGGTATGGAAAGTATTCAGACCCCCTTAATTTTTTCACTCTTTTTTATATTGCAGCCATATGCTAAAATCATTTAAGTTCATTTTTTTCCTCATTAATGTACACACAGCACCCCATATTGACAGAAAAACACAGAATGTTTGACATTTTTGCAGATTTATTAAAAAAGAAAAACTGAAATATCACATGGTCATAAGTATTCAGACCCTTTGCTGTGACACTCATATATTTAACTTAGGTGCTGTCCATTTCTTCTGATCATCCCAGAGATGGTTCTACACCTTCATTTGAGTCCAGCTGTGTTTGATTATACTGATTGGACGTGATTAGGAAAAGCCACACACCTGTCTATATAAGACCCTACAGCTCACAGTGCATGTCAGAGCAAATGAGAATCATGAAGTCAAAGGAACTGCCTGAAGAGCTCAGAGACAGAATTGTGGCAAGGCACAGATCTGGCCAAGGTTACAAAAAAATTCTGCTGCACTTAAGGTTCCTAAGAGCACAGTGGCCTCCATAATCCTTAAATGGAAGACGTTTGGGACAACCAGAACCCTTCCTAGAGCTGGCCGTCCGGCCAAACTGAGCTATCGGGGGAAAAGAGCCTTGGTGAGAGAGGTACAGAAGAACCCAAAGATGACTGTGGCTGAACTCCAGAGATGCAGTCGGGAGATGGGAGAAAGTTGTAGAAAGTCAAAGAAAGTCAACCATCACTGCAGCCCTCCACCAGTCGGGGCTTTATGGAAGAGTGGCCCGACGGAAGCCTCTCCTCAGTGCAAGACACATGAAAGCCTGCATGGAGTTTGCTAAAAAACACCTGAAGGACTCCAAGATGGTGAGAAATAAGATTCTCTGGTCTGATGAGACCAAGATAGAACTTTTTGGCCTTAATTCTAAGCGGTATGTGTGGAGAAAACCAGGCACTGCTCATCACCTGTCCAATACAGTCCCAACAGTGAAGCATGGTGGTGGCAGCATCATGCTATGGGGGTGTTTTTCAGCTGCAGGGACAGGACGACTGGTTGCAATCGAGGGAAGGATGAATGCGGCCAAGTACAGGGATATCCTGGACGAAAACCTTGTATAGACAGGTGTGTGGCTTTCCTAATCACGTCCAATCAGTATAATCAAACACCGCTGGACTCAAATGAAGGTGTAGAACCATCTCAGGGATGATCAGATGAAATGGACAGAGCCTAAGTTAAATATATGAGTGTCACAGCGAAGGGTCTGAATACTTATGACCATGTGATATTTCAGTTTTTCTTTTTTAATAAATCTGCAAAAATGTCAAATTCTGTGTTTTTCTGTCAATATGGGGTGCTGTGTGTACATTAATGAGGAAAAAAATGAACTTAAATGATTTTAGCATATGGCTGCAATATAACAAAGAGTGAAAAATTTAAGGGGGTCTGAATACTTTCCGTACCCACTGTATCTCTACTACCAGTATTTCTATGATGACTTAATAATAGAAAATTCCTTTAACAAACATACTTTAGCTTAATAATGGACTATGTCATAAACCTGACATTCTTGCAGAGAGTATGAAGTGTCATTTGGGGGGGGCAATCCTAGCTGACAGTGGGCGAGAGGCAGAGTCCACCCTGGACAGGTTGCCAGTGTATCACAGGGCTGACATGTAGACAAACAACCACACACACCCACACTCACTCCTCCAGGCCATTTAGAGTCACCAGTCAACATAAGCTGCATGTCTTTGGACTGTGGGAGGAAGCTGGAGCACGTGGAGAAAACCCATGCAGGCACAGGGACAACACACAAACTCAGAACCTTCTTGCTGTGAGGCGACAGTGCTAACCACTGTCTGTATGAAATAATGCAGGATGTATCATGAATTACACCACAATTATGAGTTAGCTATTGCTATATATTCATTAACCAGTGTTTGTTTCAATAACTTCATGTACCAATTTATATGCCACAAAATTAGATATGATCAGTTAACATAGGAGAGGCAGCCACAGTTCAGAAACCTCAGAAAGCAGACCAATATTCTCAGGAGCACCAGGCTGTTTTTATAAAGCCGATAGTCACAGATTTAGTTTTTTTTTAAACTGTATCCAGAGGCGATCAACCCTTGAAAAAACTACTGCAGTTTAACTCATTCTGCAAAAATTTATGTTTTGGGCAAATGTGGCCCATGTTTTATGTGGCATTACAGGCCTTAAGGTAAGATGTATAGGTTGTTCACATACAGTGGAAACAGTGACCTGTTTTATTTATGGTTGCGTGAAAGTACTGTTGTTGTTGTTGTTGTTGTTGTCTTTGAGAATCACTGTAATCAGATATAACATGAACATGTTTCACGGGGATTTAAATGAGTCTTACAACCATATTTACAACATTAATGTTCAATAGCTGTTGCTGTTTTGTTGACAGTGTATTATTATCCATAACTTAAGAATTCACCCTGAAGTGTTAAGGTCCTTCTTTTATGTTGTTCACATCACATCCCCTTGTCACGGCAATGGCCTGCTCTCCGCCTGCTTTTACCCACATCTCCACCTACAGGACATGACAGGCACAACATTTGTTACAGGGAATAAAACAAACAAACAAACAAACAAATAAAAAAAACAGCCTCCTTGTTCAGAAAAAAAGCAGGTATAAATGAGCATACAAAGTGAAACAATTATGAAAATTTAAAAACAACACATAGGACTGTACAGGCCTTCATGCTCCAGATGTAAACATGCTACATGAGAGTGTTGCACCCATTGATTGCACCTTGCCTCTGCTTCTCCGTTTTGCATGTGGCTGCAGTCCATGCGAAGCGCTATTGGTTGACACAGATAGTAGTCCACTCATTCAGCTTTGATCCCTTTACTAGCAAGCTATTCTCCAGCTGTCAGAGCATGAGAGTAAGCAATTGCAGATACAGGCCTGCTGTAAACCTGCTTTATTGTACATGTGTAACTTAGAATAGTCTGTAGCTAGTAAACATGGAATAAATGGACAATGCACTGCAACCGGAGGACAATGAATGTGTCTGTACAGCTCTGTTTGCTGGCATATTTAAACCTGACTGTAGGCCTGACTTTGGCTTTAAGACCAAATCAAGGAACGGCATTTACATTTCTATTACCTGCTGGTAGCACAGAGTGTTTTTACCAAACTACCGTGAAGGATGACAGCATAGAAGTGGATTACCAGGTAAATACAAACATCTCTCTGTCTTTCACTCTTGTGTGTCCGTGTTTGTCTGTAACATTCTGATTAGAGTTTTGTATAAGTTGTTTGTGAATCATGTCTAACTCAGAAACAAGTGAACAGGTTATGGACTTTGCTCTTAAGATAAGAACTTACACTACTGCTCTTATTGAAGACACAAGGCAAAGGGGTAGAAAAACAAAAAAATTATACATTCGCTTCCACCTGTACTGCAAAAATACATTTTAAAAGTATTTGATGTGCATTAGGGATACGCACAAATTTACAAGACACACTTACAAGGTGACACTGTGCATCCAAGCTATCCAATGGCCAACAATATTAACTGGAAATGAATGTTATATACAAAATACTTTTTTTGCCAGTTTCAAACTCCAAAGCACACCTGTCCTATAGCCTCTCATAATGTGTTAATGACCTCAGTCACTCTATGGCCATGGCCTTGGTATTACTTCATCTCCTACCATCAGACCAGTTCACCCAGTGGCAGCTGCAGGACTGTGCTAGTGTAAAGACACAGTCCTGACTGCCCAGCTGTGGTTTCCCATGGAGTCAGTGAGGAGCCCAGCAGCGTTACGTGGGCTTCGTCACCGGATCAGTTGACACACGATGTTCTCAGGACAGTTACATTGATGTGGAGGTCTGATTCACTGATCTGCTGCTTTGTCCCAAACTGTCACTCAACAACACTAACTGGCAGCCTGTAAGGTCAAAGGCTGCACTGTGATACTGTTCTTTTTGGAACAACAATATTGCAGCACAAAAAAAAAACACACAAAAAAAAAACCAGACTGAGACATTTATGTACTTTTTTTTCCAGATAATGAAAGGTTATTGTATTCTATCACATCTTGTGTTGAACCTCGAGTGATTAAAACAAACTGTGTTATCTTTAACTAGAGGGATAATGGACTCTGTTCCTTTATTATCACCAGTGTGTTATGTGAGCGAGGTTGTTGCTCACAGTTTTATCAGGGCTTTAATTTGAATTTCAGGCGGCTGTTACCCACATAGTCTGATTAAAGCTTGAGCGAGCTGCTTGTGTGGAATGAAAATGTGAAGGTAACAGACAATGGATATGTGTGTGAATTCTGTCTAACATTACTGAGCTCTTCCCCTGTGTTACTCTCTTATAGGTGATAGCTGGGTCAGGTCTGGATGTTGGCTTTGCCCTCATCTCGCCCAGCGGATACCGGCTGGTGTCTGACTTTAGAAAATCTGACGGCCTTCACATGTGGGTCACCTAAATGCTTTCTAAAAACCACCATGTTTTCATGTGACACTCGGTTCCTACAATACTTTTGATTTGTATTAAAACCAATGATCCACAAAGTAGAAGCAAGCATTAAGGCGGCAGCAAGAGTTCATCCAAAATACATGAAAACCTGTGCAATAGAGGACTGTATTTCAGAAAATTCCTTTTCTAAAGAAAAAGAGATAACGATAAAAAAAAAATGCTACTACTTTATTTTGTTGTGTCTTAACACTTAGTAGTTTCAACCATGGTCTAGCTGGGAGAAAATTTCCAGAATTGTGTACCAGTTTTTATTCTTGCAGGGTGGATCCCACGGAGGATGGAGATTACCGACTGTGTTTTGACAACAGCTTCAGTAAACTGTCAGAGAAGATGGTGTTCTTTGAGGTTATCATTAATAGTCAGAGCAGCACAGGCAGAGGCCGAGATGAGTGGGGAGACGTGGCCACAGCAGAGAGCGTGGTGGAGTACAAAGTGGAGGACATCAGGGTGAGAGGGAAAAACAAAAAGCTTTTATTTGTGCTGCAGCTATGATTGCCCTCCAAACCACACTTAGAATATCTAATGTAATTATGTTGGATGTCTCTCTTCCGCTCTTTCGTCACCTCCTGTCTGCTGTTCTTTTCTTGTTCTTCCAGGCAAGGTTGGATTCTGTGTACCATCACCTGGAGAGGAGTCGTCAGGCTCAGACTGTGCTGCGGGCCTTCGAGGCGAGAGACCGCTACCTCCTGGAGGACAACCTGTGGCGAGTGTCCTTCTGGTCCTGCCTCAACCTGCTTGTCATGGTCACCGTCGCTGTCACACAGATTTACATCCTGCAGAGCTTCTTTGATGGCACCAAGCGGGTCTGCACATAGTCACAGCTGAACCGTCTCATTAACCTCTAGCCAAGCTCCTGCAGAACCTGTATATTATCACACTTGAAGGTTTGACACTAAATCCTCATCTCACACACCTTGTGAGTGCAATTCAAAGACAGTTCTAAGTTTTTAAAAGGGATTCATAATGCAGCCAAAAAGGGCATTGCTTTCACATTTTGTGAACGTGTTAGTTTTGGTCACACCTGAAAATCACATGTATTGTACAGTACTGTAATGAGCACATACAGTACAAAATACCCACAGCACTCGTATTTGTTCTTGTACAGTACTGTAATGAGCACATACAAAATACCCACAGCACTCATATTTGTTAACGACATTTGGCAAAGCTAAAGAAACATTGCTGTTCTCACTGGAATGCTGTTTTATTGAATTTAAGATATGACATTTTACATCAACATTCATGACTCTAGGCAACATTTTATCTAAACAGTAGCTACACCTCACTTCCTTATACTTTAAAGAACAACTCAGGCTGTTTAAAAAAAAAAAACACAAGTACAATTTACTGTGATAACAAGAAATGTACCCACACAGCTGTAAAAGCAGCTTCCCCGAAATTCCTCAATTGTTTTCTGATTTGTCCGGTTTCTCCTTCTGGAGATTAACTAAGCCAGCAAATAGTGAAGTCATGTATTTTGGAGGTTTTGGGCTGAAACCATATTTCTGTAACATTATTTGGAGGCATTGCAGTCATTTAGTTCCATGCAGTTGCACTTCATGGTGAAACACTAATAAGACATTAGACAATCTATTGTGGTGTAAAACCACCATTATTTTCTCACAATCCTATGGGACCTACAGAGACTGCGCAGCTTCCTGAGACAGTTAACATGTTCTGTTATAAATCACATTCAGTGGTAATGCTTCACCAACTGAAAGACATTTATCTTCATCACAGAACAGAACAGGAATTATCTACAATGGATTTGGACTTAAGTTATTTCCCATTATCGCATCTCCATTCTAACTATTTTTAGAAATACTAAAAAAGTTTAGTGAAATGTGTTCAAAATATTTATGAGAACTAAAGAAAAAAATTGGTTTTAAGCTTGATGCCTCAATGACTAATAACATTTTGTCTTACTGACGGGTCTTTACATCATTGTTAAAGCTTTTCTTTGTGCTGGAATTAGGATCAGTAGTTCCAGTCTTGCTGTTGCCGTGGACTGAGGCCATTTCCTGTCCACTGCAGGCTGGTCAAGGTCATCACTGGTTTCGTCGGGGAGCTGGGCGCCTGTTCAGGAACAATCCATTATTATTAATCTCTTAACATGCACTATGACAGCTAACACTATAGGATGCAATCACGGAAACAGCGAGGGAATTTGCAATGAGGCGATCTCTGTGAGAGGAACATTTTACTGTTTTAAAAGCTTTTTTTGGTAAACTCTATATGCACTGTATATAAAAATGTTTTTGTATTCTATTAAAGGTTTTCATGTTATATCTTTCAACACTGGATTAAAGAAGATCAGTTTTTATTTTGACATTAGAGCCTTTTCCTGATGAATAAAAAGGTTTCATTAAATCTTTTGATTCAATGCTATAAGAGAGCAGAAGAGGGTTGAAATGTAAAACATGACTTCATTGTTACACACTTACCAACAGCAACAAACAGCTACTATTACTATGGAAATGTATCAATTTTAAGATTCATCACTTTGCATTTGGTGAACATGCATATGCAGAGTAACAGTGGCCTTTTGTTTGAGTGATGCTGCTCTAAAGCAGGTAGTCTGCCAGCAGGGTTGCCACAGGAACACCTGCTGGTTTACTGGTGCTGCTGTACTGGTTTAGAGGAGGCAAGTGAGGACAGGGAAACTAGGAGAGGCTCTGCATGACCTGAGACAGAGAGAAGAGAAAGTGGATCACACAGGACACAAGAAGACACCAACCACCAGAGCCAGTCCCTTTATTGTACACAACACCTCTTTATTTGTTCTTCTTTCTAAATAAGTTCACGTTCATTTATTCAAATCAATTAATTGCTACAGAGGCACTTGACAAGGGTTTGCAAAACAAAAAGAAAGACTTTTGCAAGTTGGTTTCCAACCCCTTCCACCACATCCATACAGGAGAGGGAAAGAAGGAAGAGGTATGGGACATCCATTAGGAAGAAAGGCAGTATTACCATAACCTAACATATTCCAGGACATTTACAGTCTGGGCTTCTCTACAGAAGGCTGAAGTGACAGGCACAAGGGCAATTCAATAAGCTGCATCACAAACTGCTAAATTCTGTGTACCAGGAGTTTGTGGAAGATCTAAAGTGAAGACTCAAGGCTATTTCTTTACATATATATTTTACTCTGTAGCACTGTCACTGAAAGCCAGGCCTGTAGAGAAATGCCAGGAAAGAAAAAGCACATTCTGTCTCAAGAATCTACAGTTTGTAAAGAGTTCAAACATTTACTAGTTTATTTGTCTTGTCAGGTTTGCTAATTGTTTCTCTCCTCTGTGATGAGAAGAGAAATGTCTTAACCTCTTCTCCAGACAGAATGTGCCTTCATACACAACTCCCACCACCAACTCACCACCTCTACAGATCAAATGAAAATCAGAAAACATCCAAGTAACCCAGTGTCACTCCCTGCTTGACCGGTTTCCCCTAAACACCTACAAATGTTCCAGAAAAACTGGTTGTAAATGGTCAAAAGGAAATCAAAAGATAATCATTATCAAATAATCACAGCCCCAAGTACCCTCCCAACATACATGTTAGACAGCTCGTTTCTGTAGCAGAGCCCCAGTCCAGGAGAAGTTGGGGGGCTGAGAAACATAGTTATAGAGCGCCGACATAAATGCAACCAAAAACATCAAAATGACAAATGCCCAAGTTTTCCCCGTACAGTTTCATGTTGGGCTTTGATTATAATCAACAGCATGTTCTTTTCATCAACCCTGTGGTTAAATGAGAGTGTTAACTCCCCAGTGTAAGCCAGCTATATACAACATTTATAATGCATGGGGACAGAACTGATAGCAACAATAAATGTCTGTGACAACTAGGCCTGGAAAGATGCACCAATTCCTCAATGCACAGCTATGTCCCCATCCACACACAGCCACCACTTCACTGAGTCTTTATCCTCTCTGAGAGGAAACTGTACTATGTGCTCTGTTCTATATGAATCAGTGAACCTAGGAATGAACAAACCTAACCGAAGGCTGAAGGCTCCGTTGGGGTTTAACTGAGACTAAAGAGAATAAAATTCAAGGCTTTAACTCAAAATTAGTGGAGAGGATGCTTCCAACAGAGTGCAGCCACCAATCTGTCTCGCTCCCTTTCACAGGTTTTTGTGCATAGTTCTGATAACAGACCACAATATCCCTGTTATGAGTGGCTTGTTGTAAGGCTAGATGGTCAGAAGTGCTTGGATACTAATGGTCAGTATGGCTGACATCTTTTCATTGTGAAAGGAGATTTCACAGAGGGGGTGCTGAAGCTGCCCCGTCTGTCTCATGCAGCCCTGCCCCATGTCTTTTTGTGCTTTGTCTTTGCTGCAATTAGAATTTCATTTTTAAAGCTACATTTATGATGGTCATTAAAAAAAAACAAAGTCTCTCGAATAAAATAACACTGGAAAAACTTGACACCACCAAAATAACAACAGTAATTATCTATTTTTTTCCAGTATGAAAACAGCTAGGAAATGAAACCCCAGTAAAACATTAACAGAGTACGTCTGTATATTACACAGAGATCTGGACTTGGGCATCTGCACCAATCTAAAAAGGTGGAGGGAGGGGAGAGGAAAGCCAGTCTGTAACGGTTAATAAGTTATCTAATGAGCTTCTGCTGGGGAACCTTGTCAGAGGAAATAAACAAGTTATTACGATAAAAATAAAAGCTCGGATTGAATTTCCACAACAGTTACATGTGCTACTCAAGTGGTTATGGGATTTCTTTCCTTAATGTGCACTGATAAAGATGGTATTAGCAGCTTATTAACATTACTTATTGAGACATGCTAACACAGCTGGACAATGCACATTTTGCACCGCTATCAGTTAGCTCTTCCCCTTGAGCCCCTGCCCAACAGTGTGCAGATACACACACCCACAGAGAAACACACACATTTAGGTGGGCTGGGCCACAGGTCTAGTCTAGCAGGGAGGGCTCAGCAGGGCGGATAATGGTGGGCCGGTGAGAAGGAGCGCCAGGGGGTCTTCGGCTGCAACGAGGAGAGAAGATACAGAACAACAGTGAGACATGCTCACAAAGAGATGCAGAGAAACCCAAACAACCCAGCAGAGGAGAGAGGGGATGTGAAGACAGAGAGAATGAGAGACAGAAGTGAGTGAGAGTACAAGTAAAGAAATGATATTAAATAATAAAGATGGGAAAACTGGTGAGAGTGAGAAATGACAAACCATGCCTGGGACTTTTCAAAGACCAAAGATGATGTTAGTGACAAAATGTTACAAATAAAGTGGAGCAAAACTGCACAATAAACACATATGACATTATTGGTCACATCATAAAAAGGAAGCCATACCTGGGAACACCGGGTGGGACACGGACTGGTCGGGAGGGGATCTGTGGGGGTGCACCGGAAGGATCCTGAACGCTGTTGAAGGCATTCATGACCTGGACTGGCCGAAAGGGGACTGGTGGTACATTAAAGGCTGGAGAGGGGTTGAGTGGAGCTCCAAAGGCAGGGGAAGGGTTCAAGGGTGGCCCTGGTGTTGAGCCCCGAACAGCAGGTGGGCGGCTAGGGGGCAGGGCTGCTGCAGGATGTGGCCTGCTCGGAAGGGTTGGGCTGGGAGAAGGACATGAGTAACTGAATCTGACGTTGTGATTATCACCTAAAATATCCTGTTAGGTCTTTTTTTCAAAGACGATCTGAGGCTATTTTTTTTCTGAGCCTTTTCTGGGACAAATGTCTATGAATTTAAAATAAGACTCTCTGGCTATTATGTGCAATTTTTTTTTCAAATTCAATAAAGCATCATAATGCTACAAAGCTAAATATTTGTCTTTTATCTGCCTGTTGCTTATCTCATATGTTTATAACATAAATGTACATTCCATCCATTACACCCGTAGCCTCTATATTTGCATCATCAGTGCTACCCAACCATCATTATCAACTTTATCTCACCTGGTTTCTTGGATCCAGCCGTCATTTACAGGAGGGGGTAGTGGGGTGGAGATGGTGTTGGCACTTATGTCACCAATAATGATCAGTGACTCCTTCAGTGCATGATACATGCGCAACATTTCATCCCTGTGCTGGGCCTGGTCAGCTGACTCCTCCATGAGGCTATTCTGGTCACCAGATGAGTAGAGGTATGCCAGCAGCTCTGCGTGAATGAAATCCTTAGCCTGTGTTAAGATTTAGATCATTAAAATACAGACAGCAGCACTGTACATTGATTAACATTGAGAATTTCTAGATATGGAGCATCAGCAGCCAAATGTGAAATGATCAACATACATAAACTGGAAAATGTGGGTGAAATAAGTGAAGGGTTAGGGATAGAAAATGAAGAGACTAATTAACCACAAGAGCAAAAATTATTTATAGAATAGAGACACTTCCTTAGACAACATATTACAAAATGTGAACAGTGGACAATGATGTAAGTGTTGGTTGTGCGAGTGTGTAGCTGCTGGATTGCTGGAAGACATCAAATGAGCTCACTAGAATAAGCCACTGTGAGCTTGTATCATGAATTCTGTTAATTAGTGCCTTCAAGTTTATGACCTTGTGTTAACATGAAACACCCAACAATGCTACTAATATAAACAGGAAAACTAACACTGTTCTGGACAGCTTAATGATGCAGTGACATTTAGATAGAGGTGTGAGGACACACTTAGCTCGTGAGAAGAGACAATACGCAGACGAGACAATATTTTAACACTATTTTTAAGAAGTCTTCAATGATGAAATATATGACTAATAGTATTTTATTCGACTCAAAGTCACAAAATGCAAAACAACTCAGGTGCACTGTGAAATGTTGAAATGTATGAATTATCATCTGCAGTAAAAGACAACAATATACAAGCGCTGTAAAAGGTTCTGCCACAAACTCAATTGGCGTCTCTCCTGTATGATTTCACACAAGTCTCTTCAGACCTTAAAACTGTGCATGAACTATGCATAGCTTCTAACCTCTAACTGAAGCTATGTGTGTCCATATATGCTATTTTGACTCTTACCACACTGCACCAAATGGTGACATCATCCAGCAAAGGCGTTGTGTTTACCAGCCACTTATGGGGGACGATCAGGATGTGGACGCCCACGGGAAGAAGACTCCTTTGTTTACCTAGTTAGCATTAGCATTCACTGTAAAATCTGCTGAGGACTTACATTGTTGATCATGAGGTGCATGATGGTCTTGGGCACAAGGTCTCTGACGGATTTGTTGATGATGGTGATGTATGAATCCACCAGGTTGCGGATGGTTTCCACCTGCCGCTCCAATTGAGGGTCCATAGAAAATGTGTCTGTAGGGGCAGCCTCTTCATTCTCAATCTAATGAGAAATAACACATACAACAAAGATGAAGTAAAAATATACAGTATAGCAAATATTTTTCTGTAGAAGTTGCAATTATGTCAGTTTTGACCAAACTGATACTAATGTATGGCTTTTAATGAAACACAAAGGACCACCCACATACCTGGTCTTTCTCCGGATAAACTCCTGCCCTGAGGAAGGATGCTTTCCAGCTGTCCACATCGTCTTGAGATTCGCAGGCCAGTTCTATCTGGCGAAGATCCTTGTACACATTCCTGTACAGATAAACAAGTGCTTGTGAGTGTGTAGGCTTACCCAGCACAGAAGGATATGCATGCACACAAAAACCACAAAGATAAGGTCTACATTTATTCACACAGGTTGGAAAAATCCAATTTCAGCATAACCCTGACCTTTGTTCAGTGTTGAAAATTGCAAAGGAGTGCTTGGTTGACATAAAGCCTTTCTCCACATCTCTGATCTTTAGGTTATCCAGGGGCAGCATATATTTCTTTTCTTTTTCCTAGCATAGGACACAGAAGAAATGTGTATTTATAAGAGGTTATCAATAAATAACTGAGAATGCCAAAACTGAGCATACAACAGAATAAAGTTCTATCAGCACAAAGTGAGCATTTGTTTATATTTTAGAAATGCAGAAGAAAACAAAAGCAGCAGGCATAATGGAATGCATTTCCTCCCTGTGGATGACCACCAAGCTGGTGAGATGGAGAAATGTATGATGAGGGAAACAAGGAAGAAAAGGAGGAGCATGGAGGAGTTTGGGGGGATGGGGTGCCAGCTTTCACTGTTGAGAAGAGACATCTGGAAGCATTTATGTCTGCACTAACACAGAGTACGGCACAAGCCCAACAGTTACATCACTCGCAGTTCCACACATTCCCCTGCCCCCACCACACACACACACACAAGGGGCCAAACACTTAACTGCACATGCAAAAACAAACAAAAATACATGCGCCTGACCGAAGTGAAGAAACATATCATGTGTGTGCATAAACACAGTCATACAGACATAAAGATACACACTGCCCGAACACTAAAAATACAAGAGTACTCACGTAGACAAGCGCCTACACACATGCTCACTTGTACACCCCCAACCCCCCCACCCCGTAACCCAGTACGATTTCCTGCAAATTCCAGAGTCAGATCCCGGCTGGAACATTGCAGCCTGCTTGCCACGTCAGTTTGCCTCCACCATCCTCCTTCTCTCATTGTTTTCGTTTTTTTCACAAAAAGGCAACAGACATAAAAAATGCACCGTTTCTAATTTGTATTCGTGCACCCTGAGGTGACTGGACCGAGAGTCATCTTTAGCAGTGGACAGTGGTTTCTTTTAGGGGCCTTTTTTTTACATTGCTGGAAGAATGGATACGACTGAGGCCTTGAGAAGAAGATCAAGTGGTGAGTAAAGTAACACACAGCTATTTATATATTCTATGCACTTATAATCTGTAGAGGCAAAAGTTTAATTCAGTTTAATCCTTTTGAATTTTGTCTAAAATCAAAGAGTTAAACTAGATTTGATTTTAGATCATGCTGATGTGCTATTGTACTGAATGTTACTCTTCAAGTTCTTGAATACACTGAAAAAGATGGGAGGAAATGTCTCTAACATAAATAAACTGAACTGACTGTTTAGTCAAGTGAAAGTCTGACCACATCAAAAATTTATTTTGCAGAACTGGTTGAAATAAATGTTATAAAGTCTAGATTTTTCTTATTAAACTTTATTTAAAATACCATATATTTCATCTGACAAATAGTACTGTAGTGTTTCAACAGTACTGGACCGAATTTTTCATTGGTTTCACTACGGTAATGTCTGCTCTGTGTCCTCTGTACTACTGTACTAGGGTAGTGACCTGCAGCTGCACTGACCTCGGGGTCCTTCCTCTCAGCAGAGCCCTCCTCACCCCCCCGCCTGCCCAGTGTTCAGACTACCTGTTCATCAGGCTACAGCTGAACAGTAGTCTGCACATTGGTTAGGCTGGGCTGGGACAAACACAGCTCCGGCCGCCGTGAGTGATGACAACAAATCTTCACTTGAAATAATGTATCCCAGCAGTTTCAAATACAGTATCTGCATCTTTATGCATTCCTGTCGAGCTGTAATGTCATCTTATCTTAGTTAGTGTCCACTGAAAAGCAAGACTGGAACAGAAATTCATCTCACCTCATCATCTTTGTACCAGGAGAGAGACTCAGCAGTGAGGACAAACCAGTACTCCTTGGAGCCTCCCTTCATGATGCTGAGGTTGATGGTTAACCAGCCTTTCCGGATCACCTGCACAGCAAAGACGTGGGAGAGAGGGGTACCAGGAGGATAGAGGAAAGCATCTTTATCAATCAGGCTTATGCACTGGTGATATGAGGCCCCATTAAGTGTTTCACCATTAATACTGGGACATGACAGACATTAATAAAACCTTACCTTCTTACCTGCTAGGTCACTGTGAATTTATTAAGTGTTTTTTTTTTTTTTACTATTAAAATGGCAGAGACACATGGATTAAATGTAAAATGTACTGTGCTGACTAGAGCATGAGGTGACCAAAGGACAGAGGTACATCATGCACAGTAATACATACTGTGTTCAATATGGCTAATTTTATACATACACATCAGAACGTTGAGTTGAAAATACTGAAGAGGGATGTAGTCCTTGTTCTCTTTTACTCAACAGAAAAGAAATCCTTCAACCAACACATAAGAGCAGATGGTATGCAGACCAAAAACCAAGGGTCGACGGTGGTATGTTATCGTCAGTAGGTCAGTAAAAGCTAGCCTATGCACTGGGGTTAAATAGGAGCAGGGTTAAATAGGTTACCTGGAGTAATATTTGGCTAAGGAAAAGACTGGAAGAAGTGAATGCAACAGGCAGGGGTAAAGGAGGACAAAAATATATATATAATCAAAACAAAAGTCACTAAATGCAGAGGGACATATCCAAATGATAGAGGTAGCAGAATTAGTGTAGGGAGAGAAATCTAAACAGCAAAGTCAAATTCTGAGGTATAGGGATGGAGAGGGAGAAAATACATCAGACTGAGAAGTCGAGTTGAGCGAATCACTAACAAAAATTAGCCATGCACTGCAGAGGAGCTCTCTTAGTTACTGTCTCTCAATTTTTTCCCACAAACTCCCCCATTATACTTGACATACAGTGATCTGTATGCTACGTAAGGCTAAGTGCAAATGTCAATTTCAACGCCTGCTCTAGACCTTTTGACTCCCTCTCATCCCGCAGAGGACTTCAGTGAGTTATGCAGAAAAAAAAAGGTTCATTAGTTCAAAAGTGCCAGTATAAACATGAGGGGCGGAGCCAAGAGCATAGGAGCTAAACTGGTAGGTTGCCTTGGTGAGGAAGCAACATCTCAGAAGCAAGGAAAGGTTTTAAATCCTGTGTTGAAGTCAGTTGGAAATATCATAACCATGTTCACAATAAGGAAGAAAACCTATGAAATGAGGCTGTCAAAAATAAGATGCTTTTGTTTCTGTAACTGTAAAACTGTCATAAAATGTTGCATCCATTTCTGTAAAGCAATAGTTAAAGATGTTAGACTTCATCTAAGATTATGTCCAATGATTCAAAGCAAATAAATTCATATGATTTAAATAAGACATGCTAAATTAATCCACTATGACAATCAGTAAAGTATCAAAACAAAGAGATGTGAATGAAGAATCTTGATTAGGTCACTGAAATGCATCTCACAGCCTTGACCAGTCACTGACAAGTTTGATAAATTCCAAATCCAGAATTAACAGGATATAAAAACACCCAAACTTAATAAACCCGAATTTTCCTTTAAACAGAGCAGTAAGCTGTGAATTAGAGGAGCAAAAAAAAAAAACAAACAAACAAACATAAAACTAGAAATTATTAGGGGAAAAAAAACCTGAACTTATGTGTTTAATGTGCAGTTGGTTTGATTGCTCCCCACTCCCTCCCCATTTGTCCCCAGTGGCATTTAGGATGATTCTCACAAGGCAAACTTTTGAGTCCCCGTGCATGGAGCAGCAGCAGAGGTATAAACCTTAAGACATGAGAACTGACGCTGCCACAGTCAGCGGTGGAAGAGTTCTCTCTGTGATCCTTAATAGAGCACACACAGCACTGCAAAGATCCACAGAAGATATCTTGTGGCGATAAATGAATTCATATCTTGTCCAGATATTTGTTGAAAAAAAATTGTAAATGTTAGTAAGCACCACAGATGAGTATATTTAAAGACAATTACTGTCTTAAAATGAAGCCAAGAATTACACAAGAGCAAATGTGCTAGGTGTTACTGTGAAAACTGTTCCAAATTACTGGTATCTGCATGCTGGTGCTAGAACTGTAATTGATATCAGTTTGATCAGTATGAAAACACTACCTTCTCCTTGTGGAGCTCTCCCAGTCCTCCAAGCTGCAGAGGGGTAGAACAATCCATTATAGTGACAGTGATAAGCTCCTGTATTGACAGGAGTCAGCTGTTTATCCTGTTATGTCACAGCAGTCTGTCTTTTCCACCCTAACCATATTGGCTGACCTGTGTGTGATGGCCTCAGTTCCTCTGCATGGCCTACCCCTGCTGCCCCCTGGCAGGGTGTGGTTTAAATCTGTGGGATACTTACCAGAATCTCACCCTGCAGTAATAGGAAGGGGACAGGAAATTAAAGCAAAGGGGGCAGTATAAAATCACAGCCAAAAGAAATGAGAAAGCAAGCAAGCAAAGATGAGAGGCAGGAGGAGGAGAGATGGAAAGGGTGAGAGGTGGAGGGTTGGAAGGAAAGAAGAGAACAGACAGTGAAAGTTTTAGAAAGAAGTTGAAATAATAAGAATGGCAGATTTGAAGGGAGCAAAAACAGGAGGAAACCGAAAATCCATGACCAGAGGAAGACAGAGGAAGAGGAGAAAGAAAGAGAGAGAGAGAGAGAGAGCAACAGAATGACATGCAATTAGAATTACTTCAAGTATACCACAATTTGGTTGTGTTGTATTTATTGCTCAGTTGATAGGTTTGAGGTCCATGCACTTTCTGAATCTCAACACAAAAGATGCTTGTGAGTTAATGGCAAGGGAAGAAAACAACCAACATAATAGTGATTAACTGTTGCTTTACTGTGGAACAACATGCCTGGGTCACATGCAAATAGAAATGAATAAAAGCCATGGAAATAAACGCTTGTTTATTTAAAGCATGGAAGAAGGGTCTTCTTTAAGATCACTAAGGCAACTCCCTACCCTGAAACTGCTATCTTTAAAGCTGATTAGCAGTATTATAAAGTCAGAATCTTACAAACACACTCAAAGTTCACTAAACCTGGGTAAATATCAGTGTGATTAAGAGAGAAAAGGAGAGGTACCAGCTTTACAACACTGTAGGCAAAGACTGGGACTGGGTACAATCAGTATTTAAACTGATGTACAGTTAGATAGGTCAAGACAGATAATGGTCAAGGGTGACTAAATCTGAGACTGGCAAAATGGACACCGCTGAGTGATAAAGTGTACCTGGTTTGGCATGGCCCTCTTCTTGTTAGCAGCTGTGCTCCTCTGCTGGGCACTGGGATAACACAAAGATGGACAAAAAAATGACAATACTGATGACACCACACCGCCTGTTTACAATATACACACCATATATTCATGTGGCACCCCTGTTTCTAGAACACTGTATTTTTTTCCAATATTATGGTTGGTATGTTTTATAACCTTTAGTCTACATAACACAACTGTCTACTTTTAGAAAAATGAAGGTTTTGAATGTCTCTGGCATTGTACCACTACACACACGCACAGAAAAGTGAGAGTGGGTTGTAGAGCAACTACATGGAGGGTTAAACTGTTGCTCACACATGTACTGTGCACACAACCCTATATCCTCTCTGTCAGCCCACCTGTTGTTGGTGTACCCTGGGAGGCTACCATCATCCAGCCTTCTGTGGTCAAAACTGAAAGTGACGTCATGAGAACCATTAAACAGCCCTGTCTTAGCTCTGACATATCACAGCACTCGACTTGCCATGCAGAGGCTCGGCATAAACCTTCACACATGCGGGGACTTGGTTTGTTACAGTCAATGGTAAGACCCACACAGTAGACAGGAGCTCCAGTCATATACATGCTACTGTAACTGCTACACTAGGGACTACTGTATGTGAATTCAACCACAAACTTTAAACCACTTACAGATATACAGGAGCACAAAAAATCCTGGGTGCTTTGCATTGTGCAGCTGACTTTTCAGTGTATACCAGTAGCTACAAGTGAATGCAATAAAGCATTAGAATTGCTCTGTTCACAATGCATTATTTCCAGAGTCAAACAGCCTGCAGCAGACAGAAAGTTTATCTGTCATGCAATAAAGCATGCTTAATTTACTGTGTTTGAGGAGGAGCACTGTGTTGCATGTAGGGGGGGAGGTGAGCAAATAATATGACTTCAATGTGGCACCCTGCTCCCCCGGGGGGAGGCACATGCTCTAATGTGCCCAAAATCGCTAATTAATATGCTACATTACACTAATACACCACAGCTTACAGCATGTGGCTAATTCTAGGCAACATACTGACGGCTGAGAGTTAGGGGATTACAGATTCCTTTGTAAATCTACAGAATCACAAGCGCATCTCAGACGACAGGCAAGATGTAGTTAATTGGGATCACAATGCCTGGGCCGAGTTTTCACCAGCACCAAGCTGAAAGTTGAGCTAGGAAAGGTTGGGGGAGGATGGGTACATACTTAGCAAACCCTATGAAGTCCTCATGATTGGTGTTGATGTAGGACAGCTCAATGTCAATCAGCAGCAGAACCTTAACAAGAGGCAGATCGTAAAGATCAATTAGAGAGTGCACAAAAATCTCCCTTCTGACATTTCACACTCAACAACCACGACATACTGTATATGATACTACCATTTTACAAATTACAAATATGGTGGAGCTGAGAATATGATTTTACTCAAAGGTTTCAGTTTATAAACCCTGTAAAACAACCTGTCTCACTTCCTGGCTGGCTGAGCTGCTACCAAACCAAAAACTCTCAGTCTTGGCTTGTATGAAACTGGTTCTGTTTTCAAGGCTTCTCCAACCTGATAGGATTAGAGTTCTCAGACCAGCACTCAACACATTTTGGAAAATAACACTGATGCTTTATGTTTTACTTACATACTGGGGTAAAGTGCTCAGACAAAGGTCATAGCTATCTGATTAATGCCTCTTCTTGTCATGTCATTATTGAGCAATCTCTAATTGCTGCAAAATGCTGTTCTGTCATATATTCAGACCACTACACGTTTTTGCACACTTTGTCGTAAATCTAATTTTAAACAAACAAAATTGCCATTTCTGCCAATCTACAATCAATAGCCTATAACAAAATGCTGTAAAACGTTTTAGCCATTTTTGCAAATCTATTAATCTTTCATTTACAAAGGCATTCAGACCGAAACAGTGGTCAGGTGCAACCTGTTTCTTCGATGTAGCCTTGAGATGCGTCTAGAGCAGACCCTTTTACGGCCTACGGGCCACATCTGGCCCTTTGGGCGTCCCTGTCCGGCTTGCGTGAGGTCCATCAAATCAGAACATGAATGAAAAAGTTCACAGGTGAACTTAAGATCCCCGACCTACTGGATGAGAGACAGGTGATGTTGGCCAGCTAACCCTCAAAATGTCAACTCACGCCAAAAAAAGAAAAGTTGCCGAATGCCGCGTTTTCAACAAGACATAGACTGGGAGGTATTTGTTTACAGAAGTCAAAGGTAAAGAGGTGTGCTTAGTTTGTGGTACACAGGTCGCTGTGTCCAAGGATTACAATTTCAATCGCCACTACGTGACCAAACATGAGGAGAGATACAAAAACTTGTCGGCTGAAGAGCGCGCAAGAGAGTTGGATGCTTTGCTAGTGAAACTGCATAACCAGCAAAGACTTTTTACAAAGCTTTCCACCCAGAGACGCAGCTTTCAAGACAAGTTATGTCATATCCCACAAAATCACCAGAAAAAGTAAGACGTTTTCTGACTGAGAGTTTAGTAAAGAGTGTTTGTTGGACTCTGCAGCACTAATATGCCCGGAGAAAAAAGGCACATATGAGAACGTGCCCCTCTCCCGACGCACTGTAACAAGGAGGGTTGAGGACATCGCAGGAAATCTTTGGATCTACCTACATATGTGAACAGACATTCTCAGTGATGAAGTTCAACAAATCCAGATTTCAATGCACTTGTTCAAGCCCAAGCCAGACTGGATTTCTCTCACTGAACAAGTAAAATGAACTGAAAATGCATATCTTGAATACGGCCAGTAGCAGCTAATCAACACATATAATTTACTGCTTTTTACAATGGGAGATAATGAATATTGAGCAGAATTAAGTTCAAGTTATCGTTGGTTCGGCCCTCCAACACAGTTCAGGTTTCTCATGTGGCCCTTTGTAAAAATTAATTGCCCACCCCTGGTCTAGAGTCTGCCCAGTCCAACTGTGGCAAACTTAACTGAGTGAACATAAAAAGTAATTCAGAGACACACCTGTGTATACAAGGTCCCACAATTCATACTGCATGTCAGGACAAAAGCCAAGCCATAAAGTCCAAGGAACTCTCAGTAGAACGCCACAATAAAATTGTAGTGAGGCAAAGATCACAGCATTTATAAAACCATTTCTCAAGCTTTTTGGACCAAAGTGGCCTCTAATCACATTTACAACACAATATATTGTACAGAAAGTCAAGAGGTCTGAAGCCACTGTATCTTTTGCATAGGTTTGGTGGATTCACGGGAACAGTGGTGCCAAATTCACTAACACCGTCAACTTGAATCTGAAAGAAACTGAATTAATCATACAATAGGTTTTACTCTCACGATGCACAATAGTGTTTCCTGTCATAGATATATATATATATCCAGAACAATGATTAAAACAGGAAGTTGAAAAATATATCTAATGCATCTGGAGTTGATTCATCATTTCTTCTCTAGAATAGGCAAATAATATGCCCTAACAACTAGTTTTGTTTGAATTAATTTGACCAAACTAGCCTGCAGAACTAAGGCCTACTAATGAATTTGTCTTATTAAAATTTCTCAAGTTTACAGACTTACAGATGTTGTGTGATACATTCAATAGGAACTCAAATAGAAATTTATCACCGACATCTCAACTTCATTCCTCGTGTCCAGCACACCTGGCCAGTAAAGCTGATTCTAATTATATTGGACTGAGGCCACATATCAGTTGTAGATCTTACTGTATTTTTTCCAGCATTTGAAAAAGAAAAACCTCAAACGCCACTGGTCTACTTAATCAACATCTGACCAACTGACCTGGTCCTTGGCCTTCCCTTCTCTTTCTCTGATGTGGGTGGTGACGATTCTTTCAGTCTCCTCCCTCAGCCTGGGATAAGACTTGAGCTGAAAGGCAACACATCATAAAACTACAGCACCGAATGGAGACACACACGCTTAGAGTCACAAGAAAAAGTCATGGCACTGTTTGCAGTTTCCTGGTTTTCTGCATAAATTGGTCATGAAATGTGATCTGATCTTCACCAAAGTCACAATAATCAACAAACCTAATATTTCTAGAATGATAAAACACATGCAGTGATGATCTTTTGTGTCTTATGAACACACCCATTAGACATACAAAGTGATGATGGAAAATGTATCATCATTGTGTCATCTTGGAAACATTGTGCTTGACATTTGTGACTTTGGTGAAGATCAGATCACATTTCATGACCAGTTTATGCTGAAAACCAATAAAGTGGAAACAATGTCATTATTTTTTCTTGCAACTGTACATGTGAGCTTGAGCTTAGTAAGACTTACCTATAAATATCAAAGAGAAACGGATGTGAAAAGTGAGAATAAGTAGAGAACAAAGAAAAGAAAAGTGTCAAGAGACATTTTACACAAAGTGCAGTCATCTCCAAACAACCGCAATCCAACACACACAAACACACTTTAAATACAGTGGTTATCTGTTCTATAAGGTGGTGAGGTATTTACCACAGCAATGTCATTCAATGACTTTATGGAAAACAATGTGTGGTAATGCTTTAAGTTTGCTATTGTCTTAGTCATGCATTTTTTAGAATAGCAGATGCAATATTTTAAATAAACAATGTCCAAACTTGTAGATACGTCACCACATTTAAAACTATCATCTCTAGGTAGTGGCAGAGCTTTGATATTATTTAATGTAGTAAAGACTGGATGAAAAGGAAAAAGTGACAGAATGTGGTGAGACAGAGGTAAACCTGGCAGACAAAGGGGTAGGAGGAACAAGCCTATGTCCAATCCTATCATGGAGTGCAGTGCCTTTCTCTGTCCACATGATGGCAGTGGAGGACAGTTGCTATGGAAACAATTCAAGCTGCTGCTGTGCCTACAGAGAACATGGGCTATTTGTATCTTCTCACCCCCTTCACATCACTCTCTTTCAATCCGGTTTAGCAGATAGCAAAATGCCAGTCTGCCTTTGGGTCAGCGAGGCACTGTAGCCGGGCTCTGCTCTGCCCAGGCTGCCAAACCAGGCAGAGTCTTGGACAGGGAGGAAGAGAGAGAGGAAGCAAAGTGGAAGTGGAAAAAAAAAAAGCCTAAATGAGCTGATACTGAAGTCAAACCACACGTGGGAGCTCAATGGAAAAGATTCAGACATGACTTGTAAGTCAGTGCTTAATCTGAATTGTATGGAGTGTTAGGTTATTTCTTAGTTAGATAGATATGGATTAGAGATCTGTTGTCTAGAAATGTTTAGTCCAGACAGGGTGACTAGCTTTGCTGTAACTATTCAGCCTGCAGGGACTGCCGGCACGCCCAGGTTACAGGAAAAGAATGTGTAAGGTTATGTCCAATTGTTTTAGATACACACCACGAAAACAACAGTCACGCACCTTGACTTTTCCTCATGTTTTGGCTAAACGATAGAGCAGCTGCAAAGCTTGCTTATCGGGTGGCGTCACGGTTTGACGCCCCTTGTAGCATGGGCCTAGCCCAAAAATGATTAATATTATATAGGTTGTTGGGTCCAGAGATCTTCAGCTTTTCTGCTGCCTGCGCGCAGGCAGAGGGGTGAGAGAGCTCTGGACGTGTACTGTGAATTTTACCTGTGATCCTCTGAATAAACCAGCACGGTTATTTTTTATAAAATCTAAAGCAGTCTCTTTCGTCTCATTGAGAGTTCCTGGTTTGAAAGAACCGGAAGAAGCTACAAAGAAATAATAGCTTATAGGAGGCTTCCAGGAGTGGGTAGGAATGGGACAGTATGCACATTCCAGCAGTGGGTATGAATGTTCTCGTGGCAAAGGGGGATGGAGCTGACTTCAATATGGTGACCCTTTTACTGGGATGACAGAAATACATATTAAGAGAGAAAAGGAATCTGTCCTCTTTTCATGGCATCATCCCAGCGGGTGAGTCCCTGGTTACCTTAACTGCACACTTCATGGCGAGTGCGGTGAGCTCTGACACCACAAGGTCCACACATTTGAGGCTCGGCTCTTTGAGTTTGAGGATCTGCTTTTTTACTATTGCCTCGAAAGCCAGGTCAGGGGTGAAGAGCCCCGTTCTGAAAGGTCGTGGGGTCAGATCACATTTGGTTTTCATTATAGAGAGAAGGGGATAGGCAGACAATAGAAGAGAGAAAAAGAGGACAGACAGGAAGAAGAAAAAGAAGAAAGAAAAAGAAAAATCTCCATTTAGTTAGTCATTTACAGTTGTTAACAGACAACTCAAGCAGTGGAGGACAAGCCACAAGTTGTTCACATTCTCATTGCCACTAGCCAGTCCCTCTATTGATAGGTGAGAGTATGGTTAAAAAAAAACTGAGACCCTGTCAAACTCAAGGCCAAATTAGTGTACAGACCACTCCATGTTTTGCTGGCTATGTGTACTGAGCTGTGAGACCTGCAGCTTGCCCAGAAAAGACCGGAGATGCTCAGACAGTGCCCAAAACATCTCATATCCACGATGACACGTCACCCGTCACGACACTCCACAACACGACAGCGCTGCCTGCACACAGGGCTCACTGGGCTGGGCTGAGCTGAGGGCACACTGCACAGAATTTTTCTTTTTTAACATACAAGAACTAACTGATCAGAAGAGACATTTCCAGATGTTGTAAGAAGCTGTCAGCTAATGTTCTGTGTCAGCATACCCTCTGTCATACCCATGGCTGCCCCTGCCCTATGTCTCGGCTGGGTTGGGAGTTGCTGGACACCTGCAGTACCTTGTTGGTGCACTGCCTGACTGTGTTGATGAGCTCCTGAATGACCAGATCGATACATTTGAGACAGGGCGTTTTCAGCTTAACGATCTGCTTTTTCACGATGGCCTCAAACGCCAGGTCTGGAGTGAACAGCCCCGTTCTAAGGATGCACAGAGAAACAGAGGCATAGCAACAGACAGATGGGACAATTAACATGTTGGCAAAAACAAAAACCTGATGAATACACAGGTGAATCTGTACACAAAAAGACAAACAGGTGACTGAAACAATCACACTATGGGCCAAGAGAAAGAAACAAAAAATTAAGACAATGACATCAACAATATGGGGAGGAAAGATAAAGTACCAAAGACTGCCAGGTGTAAATGTAATTAAATGCACAATCACAAATGAGATATGACAGAGTATTAGTAAGGAACATAGGACAACACAAATGCAGTAGACAAAGCAACATGTAACACAAAACCTCAAAATAATTGAATACTTCAGCAGACAGAAACAGAAACGGAGTGGGTGGTTGTGCAGCGAGGAGATAAGGGAATTAGAAGAACAGTGAGGGAAAGTAGAAATGAGAAAATACATTTCACATAAAGCTGAAATCACTTTTTGAATATGCTACTTTGAATTGGTACTTGCCGTCTCTGATGGCAAGGCTTGATTATAAAAACTTGAAATGCAGTATAATAAAAGCTTTGATGAACGGAGAAAAGCAAAGCATGTGGGTGCAGGAGTGTTTCAAGTTAAAACAGATGCCAGAAGCTCAGTAGGTGGCTGCTTTAAAAGTCGGGTAGATCTGTCTCCGCTATACTTGCCTGACACCATGGACGTTCTTGATGGCATGGCTGATTTCTCGCCTTAGCTCCTTCTCGTCAAACACAATCTGATGGAGGGATGCAAATATTACTTAAACAGATCTTACAACAATTCAATTTTTGTTAAGACTCCCACAGCCACAACACTATAAAACATGGCACACTAACCTTGACCAGTTCAAAGGGGAAGCGTTCATGGAAAAGGCGGTTGATCTTGGCACCACCTGAAAGCTCGCTGGTGTCCACCTGGTCCCCGGAGCCCTCAATGCACTTCTCAAAGTCTACACCAAACTGCTGTACCATCCTGATAAGGGTCAAAAGACAAGTGGCCTGTCAGCAAGAGCCTTTATGGAGATTCATGAAAAAATTACAATTCAGCAATGCAATTTCAATGATGTTACAACTTAACACCTATAGTAAAAAAAATGTTTATTTGAGGCCAGTGTTATAATTAATCTTATCCTGAGAGCCTTTTCTTTTACTCTAGCATAGAGATACTGTATGCAAGATGTTTCTGCTCAGTTGTCTGCAATACAAACCTTAGTTTAGGCTTCGTTACCAACTACTCAAAGAGGAGCAAGGCAAGGTATTAATGTTATCATCATTATCAGCGTCGATGCACAACATTAAAAATATGTGAATAAATGACCCTGCGATACAAGTCTATGAGTCCTGGCTTGCAAATCTTTGTCAGACACAGCGGCCCATTGAAGCAGACATCCAACATAGCCAACGCGTTACTTCATGCCAAACTATATACATTAATACTACATACAGTATATACTACATTGTATTGAGTAGTTTTTAAATGTACTCACTGCAACAAGGCCTTGGTCTTCCGTGTCGGGTCATCTGGACTATAGTTCTTGTATACCTCCACCTCCTTCTCCAGGGAGAGAAGCTGACTCTGCAGCTTACTGCGCAGAGTAGGCAGAGTATCTCTGATGTGGTTGGTCAATTGCTAGAGAGAGACAGAGGCAGAATTATTTTAAAAAATGAATGATATAATGGTGGGGGTTATATTTCACAATAAAAACTGCGCAGAGTATATATGTGGTAACAATAAATGTGGTAACAAAACATCTAGTGATAGTGATGGTATCACTATGACAACTGTCAAGTGGGTAATTGAGGGGATATGTAAACCATTAACCCATATTTTTAACATGTCGTTTCGACTTGGGCAGTTCCCCAATAATATGAAAATAGCAAAGGTTATTCCACTGTATAAATCTGGTGATAAACACAACCTCACAAACTATAGACCGATTTCTCTGTTGTCACAATTTTCAAAAATTCTGGAAAAACTCTTTAATAACAGACTAGACACATTTATTGATAAACATAATATCTTATCTGATTGTCAATATGGTTTTAGGTCGAAAAGATCAACATCCTTGGCCATTACTGACCTGATGGAGGACATTACAAGTGCTATGGATGAGAAAAAATATACGATGGGGATATTTATTGACCTAAAAAAAGCTTTTGATACAGTTAATCATGAACTATTAATGGATAAGTTGGATAAATATGGGATCAGAGGAATGGTTGGGAAATGGATCAGAAGTTATTTGACACAGAGGCGTCAATTTGTGAGGTTGGGTGAATATCAATCAAGTGAGCTGAACATTGTGTGTGGAGTGCCTCAGGGTTCTGTGTTGGGACCTAAACTATTTATATTATACATCAATGATATATGTAAGGTTTCTGAAACTGTTAAAATGGTTTTGTTTGCTGATGATACTACCATTTGGGCATCAGATGAAAACTTACAGCAACTCTCTGTAAGGGTTTCAGAGGAATTTGGGAAGATAAAGAAATGGTGTGATAATAATTTACTATCTTTGAATTTGGAGAAAACTAAATATATGGTATTTGGGAACCGTAGACCACATAATGAACTTCAATTGAGAATTGGGGGTGCCAACATTGAACGAGTATATGAAATTAAATTTCTGGGGGTAATGGTTGATGACAGATTATCCTGGAAATCACATATTAGACATGTTCGCAATAAAATGGCTAAAAATATATCGATATTGGCAAGGGTTAGACATATGCTGGACGTCAAAGCATTGCGGATTTTGTATTGTTCATTGATTTTGCCATCTTTGGAGTATGGTGTTGAAAACTGGGGAAATACATACAGGAGTTCACTTCAACCATTGTACATATTACAGAAGAGAGCGATAAGAGTTGTGCACAAGATGGGGTATAGGGATCACACAAATGTAGTTTTCATACAGTCTAAATTGTTAAAATTCTTTGATTTAGTGGGCTATAAGACTGCTGTGTTTATGTATAAGGCCAGGAACAATTTATTGCCTGGTGGAATCCAAAAGCTATTTGGTGAAAGGGAAGGGGGGTATAACTTAAGGGGACATTTAAATTTAAAAGTTCATGCTATACGAACAACCAAAAAAAGATTTTGTATTTCTATAAGTGGGGTCAAACTATGGAATAACTTAACTGTGGACATGAAAAATAGTACCAGAATTAAGGAGTTTAAATATAAATATAAATGTATGTGTTATACAAGATATATGCAAGAATAAGAAACAATCTGTTTTATCTATGTAGTGATATTGCTTGCAGCCAATGTTGCATAAATTTTGTATAATATGATGTCATGGGGTAGGACTGGATAAGTTTGACTTCTTCCTACTCCATTCAAACATGTAATAGGTGTAAGCAAACTGATTTTGAATTAGCATTGGTTGGATATGTGTAATCATGTGTGTTATTGTCATTTGTTCATTGTTCTGTTCTGCATGTTTGAAAGAATAAATCAATCAATCAATCAATCAATCAAAAAAAAGAAAAGACAGTTGATAGCAGACCTGGTTGAGTGCCTTTTGCAGATGTGGTGTGCCCATACGTTCCGCCATATGTCTATAGCTGGGGTGCGACAGGAAAAACTTTCTCTCTGCAGCCATGGCAGCACGAATGTCCTTCTTCCCATCGATGTCTTTCTGGCTACGGTTCACCACACCGATGTAACCTGCACACAACAACAGAAATAGTCCCTTTTAGTGCCAGAAATAAAGCCTATAAGTGTGTCTCTGTGTGGATGTGTGCATGATCCTCACCTCTACGCAATGGCAGTAGCCTATTTTCAAGGATTTCCCTTGCATCAGTCCCTTCATCCATCAGGTCCAGTTTTGTTATAACACCAATGGTACGCAAACCTGCACAAAATTATAAAGCACAGCTACATCCCTTCTAATACAGTACCTCTCGACACCTTGACTCCTACTGCATGTCTGACAGAATAATATAAAGGATCCGAGTCCTTTTCCTAGCAAAGCCCTGTTTAAGAAACAGTTACAACAGAAACAAATGCTGAACAAATATCTGTAACATCTAAGTGAGAGATAATACAAGGGCTGCCCCCTAAAAGTCGACAGGCTGAATCATTAGTCGAGAGACCTGTCAAGTTGACTGAGACTCTTCTATTCAAACCTTTTTTTATTTTACATTTCATTTTTTTGTCAGCCAGCGTGCATCACAATAGAAGGTAGCCCCAACCCGTTAGTTTGTCATCTTCTTTTCCTCATTTTGGTGTGCCAAGCAGCCACCTGCTCAATGCTTCCCCCTTGTGGTTAGGGGGAATATCCATTTCAACAATGACACTACCCACTGTGTAAGGTCTGACAACACTATTTAGCAAATTGCTTCCCAGAAAAAGGAGAAAAAGGCAACAAAATTCACTAGGACAAGACACATAAAGGTGAGATTTGTACTTTATTAGAAGTGTTTTCAAACACTGTGGTTTACTTTTAAGAGAGAAAAGACTATTGCAATGATGTGGCTGGTTTTGCATAGCCTGTTATGTGAGTCCGGTTTGTTTACCCTTCTCTGTTAAAGTGTAATGCACAGCTGTTTACCAACTGTTTCAGCGATGTGCATCAATTCGAACGGGACTAGGAAGCTAACAAAGATGCATGGGGAAACATTTCAATGAGGGATTATAAATCAGACAAATCATTTGTGGTGCAAGCTGGCAGAAATCAAAAGCACTAACAACATGCACTGTGGTTAACTGACGGGAGACGATTAAACTTGTTGGTAATCTATGCTATGACCATGTCAGAATTAAAAATTGCCTATAAGAGCACTGTTTCAACAGAAATGCTAGTGTGCTGGCTGTCTCATTCCGACAAATCTATATGGCAGAACTTCATTATATATTATCAATTTACAGTTTTTCTCTATCGCTTTCATTCATTTCTCACAACAGAACTGCATTTCTCAGAACTACTCATTCAACCGTCAGATTCTGTTGTCAGTTTTTCACATCATATCAGCAATTTCTTGTTGTTTTCATCAAATTGCAATTGC